CATCAGCGTGTCATCATCGTCATCTTTATCCTCATCATCATTGTCATCAACTCATCATCAACGTCATCATCTCATTATCAACATCATCATCATCGTAATCAACATCCTCATCATCATATTATCGTAATCAACATCCTCATCACCATTATCATCATCTATTTGATTAATAAATTAATTTTAATTCAACATTATTATCACCAGTAACATAATAGAGAATTTGTCGAATTTATTCATCAAAAACTTCATTCCAAAAACTTGACAATATCGATTTATAGGCGGGATGAAATAATGGAAAGTGATAAATATTATCATTATCACAAATTTTATCGTTTCATTTTCATGAAAATAAAGAATAAATCAAAAATGAGGAAAATTGATAATTCATTTAAAATTGATAATATTTGAATTTAAAAATTAATTCCATCCAATTGATCAAATTAATCAAATAGAACAAACTGCAACAAATTTTTATACATATTAAATTAATCACTGAAAAGAATTAGAATCATAGTTAAGAGAGAATGGGAAGGAGGGAGAGAGGAAGAGAAAGAGGAGAAGGAAGGAGAGACAGGAGGAGGAGAAGGAGAAAGTGGTAATGAAAAGATTGAGAAATGGATGAAGATGTTGTTCTGTAAAATAATCAGTATATCAGTTGAAAAATGAATTTTTGTTGAAATTTCAATGATATGAAAGATGCGGACAGACATGATAACCTCTAACCATTCACAATCTCCTTTTATCCTTGTTTTTCTTGATGGCTGCAAAATGGACGAAAATCGATTTCTTACGCTCAACTATTCCTCTAAAGAATCATTCATTCATATTCTTCCATATATACATAAATTCCATCACATATATATATGTGTATGTGTACATGTGTATGTGTGTATGTGTGCATGTGTATATATAAATCTATACATACACATATATGATATATATATATATATATTGATGGAACATTTTCAATTATTATTGATCGTACCTTAGTAAATTATGGGAGATAGAAGAGGTAACTTACTAAGCAAATATATTTAAGATTGGAAGATACGGACATACATACACATACATATATACACACACATACATACGTATATACACACATACATACATACATACACCACAGATGGGCATAAATATATTTAAGATAGTAGATACGATTATAGGTATCAGAAAAATTAGAGATAAAGTAAAGGGAATTAGATGATAAAAAATCAGTATGATAAGAACATATCAAGATTAATAGTCATTGAAACTTATAGATTTTTTTTTTCTCTTTCTTCTTTCATACAGATTTTCCCTCTTTTACCTCTAATAGACAACTGAAATGTTTATCATAAAGATAAGTTAGTTCTTTTGAAAAAGTTTTTTCTAAGAAAAAAAGAAAGAAGAAAGATAAATGATATATCAAAAGATTAATTGTTAGGAATCGATAAAACTTGGAAACAAAAAAAAGTGGAAATCATTTGAAATTGAAGCAATCAACTGATCAATGTTTGATGTGGGAAAGAAATAGAGAAAAGTATATATTAAATTTGACGAGTGAAATATTATAATCGTAAAATTAAACAAATTATCGTTTGATTAAAATATTTGATTAACAGGTTAGTATAATTTGTAAATTTTCATTTTGGTACCGCGTAAAAATTTGCGATGTGGTAATTTTTGTTGTCTGTAATAGTTATGTTTTAAATTTCATTTTGAACTTTCTTTTTTACTCATTAGTGGGACTATGGTATTAACTTTAACATAGTGATAGTGCTACTCATCAAGGTTTATCCATTAGCATCCATTAGCATAATGATAAGATGGAATATGGATTTAGCCAAATTTAAAAGTACTGCAGTATTTTGATGTCTAACTAGACATATGCTTAAATATGTTAGCGACATAAGTTAGGACAGTTTTGTTTGCTTTCAAAAGATAAAAATTGGGGTTTGTGAGCGATAAGCAGTATGGTTGTGGTTTGTTTTAAAGAAGCTTTCTGTTAGTGAACATTAGCTTAAAATTAGGTTTTTGTTTAGCAGTATTTTAGCTTAAAGAGCTTTTTTCTGGTAGCCTTGTTATTATAAATCCCTTTCTGATACTTTTGTACGCGTATTAGCATCTACTTCGATGCCAAAATCAGTCCTTACCTCCAATATAGCATTTTTTTTCTTTTTTTGATTCAAACTGCATTTAGATGTATTTGCTAAAAGACATTAAATGGATTGCTTTAAAAAAAGAACACTGAAATTAGAAAGCAATGCTAATTTTGTTCAAAAGAAAAAAAATGCATTACATTGGTTGTCTAAATTAAATGAACTTATCATTTTTATGGACAAAAATTATTAAAAAATTGGCCGTTGGTTGTTATTTTTACTTGGTAAAAACATCACAGTGTCATGTTTTTCCTAAAATAAAACTTAATATCATTCAAGTTTCTTCCAAATACGCATTAAAACTTATTATTTTCAACGGAGTCTTATTTTTCATCTATAAAAATCGATATTTATTTACGTATATATTACTGTTTTATGTTTTACTGTAGTTCTATTTTCATTCATCGTTATTTCTTGTGTATTACTTCACTAGTATTTGATACTTTTTCTAAGGAATTACACATGGATATTTGGGAAAATTTTAATTGAATAATACCAATTATTTATACTCAATTATATAGTAATATTATTCTCAATATACTCGTCGTGAGCGCACTAAATGGGTTTTTGTTAGTTGTTGATCGTAACTGGGGCTTATTTGTGGGATAGGATATATATTTTGAGCATCATGAGAAATCATGATGCTGGCTACTTATATTTTGAGCATCAAAATCATAATGCTGGCTACTGTTAGGATTTGTTTTTCAATTAGGTCTTATTTTCAGAGAGATACGGTACCGAAAGAAGAAATAATGGAAAGTATCTGTTTTAGAGTTTAGGCTAATATCAGACAGGAAACAATGGCAATATAAATGGAATTAAGAAATAGCTAGCCATAATTCAAATCATTTTAATGTTACTTTTCAGAATATGAAAACATATTTTCGTTTCGTATTCAATCAGGAAATAGTGACAGTGTTCAGTCTTTTCATTTTGCTAAGAAGCAGTAGTCAGAAATTGTTGGAATCTCTTGCGAATTTGCAGGTTGTAACAAGACGACATATGATGAACGAATCCTGCTTAAAACTGCTGACATTTATTTAGTTTGCTCATCAGTTGAGAAAGACGAAATGCTCTTGGTTTTTTTTTTTTTTCCGGTTTTATTCTAGTGATTGTAAGTGGCACTGGAGAAAGAGAGAAGACTGAATATTACGATAAAATGTAGATTTTGTTTGAATTGTTGAAATTATAATGTCACAGGAATAACGTGGAAAAATGAAATTGTTGTATTTTTTGTGGATTAAGCACATCAGTAACAGTTATCGATTTTCAACAGATTTCTGTGATGGAGATATTTTAGTTGAATGGTTTGGTCTCAAGGTCATAGGTGAATACAGATGACATTCTCG